CAAATGTGATTTTCTTCTTGATTGCAGGGTTTACAATACGGTAAGAAAAAATTCGGTCCCCAGCGATAAATCTGAGAAATTTCGGAATTTCGGAAGATGTCAGGATTCAAATTTAAATAAATTTAAATTGGAGGTTTTAAACAAATTTGGCATCATTTCACTAGAAAAACTCTATAATCCATCATCCATCATAAATTTATATAACATCGATGAAATAACATAATATATCATTTGGAGTAAGAGCATTTGTGTCTGATGTGTTGGTGATTAGGCGATGACTGCATATACTAGTGTAAATCCAATGTGTGAGTGAGAAAATTAAAATAAATTTGAAGAAATTTAGGGCTTTGATAAGACTAGATGATATGGAGGTCATTTTAGTGTGGTTTGGTGTAATTTTAGAGTGAAGATGAATTTAACGAAAAATTTGACCGATACAAAAAAAAAATTCGGACCTCTAGCGAAAAAGCGATGTTTAAGCGAGGTTATAAACCCTGCTTGATCGTAATATACTTATATAAAAGGCACCCTCCCTCCCAGCTTTTCTCCTCCAGCTTTTTCTCCCAGTTACTATGCTTGCTTAAGAATTCTGCTTTTTCTCCAGATGTGATGAGTTTGAATAATTAATTAACTGGCGTCAGTGAGTTTATTGGCCGCAACAGATCACCCCAATGGGAGACGGACACAGAACAGAGCCCATAGAAACAGAGCATGCTTCGTAGCTGCAACAATATGCCCTATGAGATTTCTCCTTCTCCGTCGAAAAGGTGGACTCGTTCCCTCAAAAAGAAAAAGAAAAGGTAGACTCTAACAAACTGTACAATAAATGCAATGTAGTACAAACTAGGCAAACTATCACAGCTCACAAATGAGACGTCACCAATATTTTGGTGATAGAATCTGAAATCTGAAAAAGAAATATTCCCAAGACTGGAGTTGTAATCGCAAATCTGTATATTTTTTCATGCCCGTGCCCATGAGACAACTGAGTAAGCAACATATGCTTTTGAATCAAGCAAGGGGAGCTGTTGATTTTTTATTAAAAATGAAAAATCTAGACCGGACAATGCAACAGAGGAACAATGAGTCCCAAAGGTCAGTCAACCCAAAAATTTAAAATGTTACGAGTCTATCTTCGTGAGCAGACATCACTAATGAAATGTACAATTCACCGCACTAAGAAGTCCTTGAGAAGAAGTAATTAGCAGGCTATGAAGACCTCCAAGTTAGCAGCATGCGTGCACAAAACATACACCTTTACTGAGCTTAATCAAACAGGATAGACTCCTGAACATCCATGTGACCATACAAAATGTGGAACCAATTCAATTCAATGTACTAAAAACTAAGCAAATGAATTTGCCTTTTGAGAGCCTCAAGTATCGAAACCAATTGCACTCAACAGGAACGTTAACACACCCTGCTAACGTTTACGCATCTTGTTTCTCGAGGACAGTTACTTCAAATTGCCGCCAACAAGTTCCGGTCGCAACAAACAATGTTAGCAAGGTCACCGTTTGTAGGTTTGCGAGGCCCGACTCTGCTAGTGAAACAGGGGATTATTTGTGATGTGAGAGAAACAGGGGAAGCAAGGCAATAGAGAAGAATTGCAGCAAGCGAATTTTTTTCACCTGTTTTCTCTGGGCATCATTCGTTTATCTGAAATTGAGACAGAAAAAGAATAAATTAATCTCATAGAAGAAAAGGACCAGAAGCAATACGGAAGAATTTGAGCAAAAGCAGTACCTTCGTTCTTTATTTCAAGGCTGGGATGATTGGGATGGATGTTACTGGCATGCCACAGCATAGCCTTCCATTCCTTCGCCTCCTCAATGCTAGCGCCTTCATCATCCAACCAAACATGGATCTCCTGGAGCGATGGCAAGAGACCCAGGCCAAAGTCGAGACCAACACCATCGTTGCTGCCGATTTCAATGGGCCCCGTTGGCATTGCTCCTTGCTGGAACACTACAGGACCCACAAATCCACGGAAGTCGCAGTATGTTAGGCATGCAAAGAACCGGCACCAACGACGAATTCCCCAAGGATTCCGAGTTCCTGTGGCCCACAATCAGATCTAGACGGCAGAGGCATGTAAGTTCCCAAGGATGTCGAGATCACGCTGTTGCACCTCCTCTCCTTACGGCAATGGATAGGAGGAGAGGCACCACCAGATGCAATGTATTCATCCACGCTGGCAGCGTCGAGAACCAACAGGCCCGTCGTGTATACAAACCATGGAGACATCGAGGGCGACCCAGGCATCAATCCACCCATGTTCCACTCACCACCCAGGACCTGGATATTAAGATATTGTATCTTTTGCTGCTGCTTTGGTAGGCATCATATTCTTATCATCTCCGCTTGCTGGCAGCATGGCACTGCCATTTGTTTTTATTATTTACTTGAATTCCTATACAACCACTTTAGCTTTGATCCTCCCGCTAACTAAAACGAATCTTCCTTTTTTGTCAAAGTAAAGCACTGATTTTTGGAGGCGTCATATTTTTCTAGCTGGTGTTGGCTAAAAAACCTACCCTATATAAATTGTTTTAGAGACACATGGCCTTTTCTAGCTGCGGTGGGTGGAGTTTGTGACTGTGAACCGTGGTTAAATAATCCTAACCGTCTCTGAAAATAGATGGCATTTTTAGGGGTGGCATGAAACACCACATGCCACAACAATTAATTTTCGGCCATGGTTGGTAATATTATCTTCTCAAAAAATTAGGTGTAACACACAAAAAATACAAGTTTTAAAATAAAACTGGATATAGACAAATTATAGCGCTAGACAAGATCTAAAACTTTGTAGCGACAAAAAAATCATTTGCCAATTTATTGACACAGATGTACGTCTTAATTTCTCATATTTTGAAATTTGAATTTTCAAAATTTTCAAACAACCTCGAATGGAGACATGGCTGACACTAAAGTTATAGTGCTCAGATATCTAAAACATTTCAATTGAAAAAATCTAAAACTTTGCGGAAAATGCTGGGCCAACTAAGTTCCTAAGTGCATGTCTGGTCACGGCCCATGTAAACTACTATACTATATAGACCAGGAGGTTTTAACTTTTCATGGTATCAAGCTCATTGGCCATACTATAGTATAGCACATTGATGATAAGTTATGGATAAGCTAGTTTGGTACGGCTTAATAGCTGCGATGAGGTCGAACCATATATGGAGTAAGTATGATATTTTATATGCTAAAAGTTTCTAATAATCCTTATATGTCCTACAACATATATAGACAAAAGTTTAGAGAAAAAGAATGGGCACGTGGAATAATCTAGTCACGCTACGCGGAACAATAAAAACACTGACATGTGGTCCATAAAAACTGACGTGCGAACGAACAGGACACTACTCATGGTCCAATAAAAAGTAACACATGGATAAACACCGTCATGACATGTGTGCCAAAAACACGACGACATATGGAGAACTGGGACAGGACACGTGGTGGAGTAAAAGCACAGAAACATGTAAGAGGGACCCACATGTTCGTTATTTTAAATTTTATTTAAATATAATAAACATAAAGCACAGTTTAATCAAAAGTTTTCTAGAAACCTCTCTTGTGGATGTAATAAACCGGTTGTATCCAATAGGGATTTTATTTTAATCTTTTTAATCAATATTTTAATATTAACCGCTGCCAAATGTGACCCTTTTGATCGTGCCAGCCGCCTTTGGTTGATAGTTTAACTCTGTCGTTCCACATACAGTATAGCGTGATAAAGAGCGCCACGGTAGCGTGGAGCGATTGACCCGTTCCTCGTGGCGTCGCGCCACCCCACCTGGCTTGCGATAAGCGGGTATACTGGTATGACCCCAGCTTCTTTCCTCCTTCGTGCCTTCTTCTCTAGGGTTCTTTTTAAGCATTACGTTCTTTCAGACTTCCTTCTCCCTATTCTCTTTCTCCCTTGCTTTTGTCTCATCCATCTCGCCCGGCTTTGGGCTTTTGGTTGTCGATGGTGTCATGGAAGAGGTATGACTCGCTCACCCTTTTAACTTTTCGCATTGATTTGAAGGTTGTAGACTGCTGTAAGCAAGAGTGCAAGACTGAATTTTGTTTGGTTTAAAACAAGTTTGTTTGGCCAATGGTGCCTAATATATTGTGACTACCAAACCATCTATGAACGAACCAACCAAATCAAGGTAGAAAGCATTAGTACCTGCCACACGGATGACGGAGCCAGCAAGGGGGTGGCTGGCGGCGCAAGGAGTTGGTCCGCCGAATCACCCGTCGACAGCAGCGGTCCCTACTGCGTGAGCAGGCAGGCACGGAGACGAGCTATGTGGGGGCCAAACCCGGGTCCTGGCCCCCCCTTCTCCGGGTTGTATCACTCTGAAGGTTTGCATGTCCATTGCATGCATGTAATTAATTCATGCCGCTCTCGTAGCATGCTTGTTGTTGCTGATGAGTGGATCACACTTACAAGTATGTAAATCCGCACATTGTTTATTCTTCTTTGACAGAATTCCAATTGTTCATTGCAGTCTATATAGATAGAACTTGAAAAAAAAAAGATTTTCCACGGAATTCTAATTGTCTATACTACTATTGGTAAATACTTTAGCGGTGTAGCTTTGAATTGCCCCCCCCTACACATTCATGCAAGCTCCGCCCTTCTTTGGCAGGGCAGGCTGAGAGGAAGGAAAATGGGCTTGGCCCGCGACTTGTATAATGACACCTAGAGTAATTAAGCTACGTCGCTCATCGTTTATTACAACCTGAAATAAAATCGTCGTAATTAATTTTAAGTGGACATGAGGATTAGGGCACACTGGCAGCGTCCCTTTGTGCCGTGTCCATCCTCTGAACTTTGCAAAAAAAAAACAACTCCGTGAGGGCAAAGAGGCGGCCCCCTCGTGCGCCTCGCAAGGCGATGGCAAGGGCACAATGCTCCCGAGGCGGACTTTCGGATCTGGCTACGGGAGTGGGGATACGTGGAGTAGTTTCTTTAGGTCGCGCCACCTTCCTTTCCCTCCGCATCCGTCTCTTCCACAGCAAGTGTCGAGTGCGGTGGCGGAAGAAAGCGCTTGGAGCACGAGAGCTGCTACAAAAGAGCAAGAAAGCGCGGCGGCAGCGATGATGGTCCTAATCTCCGGCGACCAATGGAGGAGAGCGAGAGGCGAGAAGGGCGCCCGGCGGACACTCGCTGGAGCTGCAGACCGTGGCGGCCAAGAGGAAGGACCTGCCCATGCTCATCTGGACCTCCAGCGCCTCGCCGGTGTTCAAGCACGCCACGGTGTCGATGCACGCATGCCAGGTCGATTGCGATATGCAGGGCTTGGGATGGCCATGTTCAGTTTAGGTGTTTGCCAATTTTCTGAAACTGCGGTGCTTCTGTTGCTTGTATCACTGCACACTAGTGTGCTGCAAAACTATTGATGTTTTGTGTCACCAATTAGGCAACTAAGCGTGCAAAAATATTGATTAGAACAAAATTAACTTTGAGCATTCGTTCTACATTTCAGGCTGCTCTACCTCAAGGAATTGTGCTTTTCAGTAGGTCTATTTCATCAGATTTAGCACAACAGGCTCTAAGATAGTACTGTAGACTAAAAATAGTGATCCATTATTTATCGGATAGCAACATAATGGTATACAAAATGATGTTCATGTTTGATCCTAGCTACATCGAGTACTTCAGATTGTACGACCTCTCTTTTGAGTATTAAACAGCTTGCAGACGACTCTCTGTCAGCTTGTACAACCTGTTTTTGAGTTATGTGTACATCAGATTCGAAGCTCTTGGAGATGACCCCGTCTGTGGGCTGTACATGCCCTTATTTTTGGGTCACCAGCTCACCACGGATGCAGCGGCGACAGTCCTACGGGATGAACAGCTGTCCAGCCGACAATCGGAACGCCGAAACCGAACCAACGGCGGCGGTGAAGTAGTGTCGCCCTGTTAAACTTGAACTTATTAGCCATGAATGCGTGTTTTTCTCTCACAACAAAACAGCATTAACGGCTTATCAGCCGCAGAAACCATCAGCCGAACAACCTCATAGGACAATTGTTGATGTTTGACCACCGATAGCCTGACACGGGGGTACCCGGGGCAGTATGTTCGGGCTTCAGCGTATGCAGAACTCGACGGTTAACGCAAGAGACAGACGATTTATCCTGGTTCAATCCCTCGATCGTGGATCGAGTAATAGCCTTACGTCCAGTCGGCGTTAGCCTTTGCGTTGGATTGATTGTAAAGTGTTGTGTTGTACAATTGTTGTCTGAACCCCCTATCCAAGGAGCCATGCCCTCCTTTATATAGTCAGGAGGCCAGAGTCCTAGTCGGTTTACAATGAGAGTTCCTAGTAGGATTACTGAGTATCTCGCCACTAAGATTACAGGAGAAGAATCCTAATTAGACTAGGTCCTCTCCTTCCTTGCGGGGTATCCCATGGATCCCACTTGCACCGACAAAGTCCCCGAGTACTTCATGGTTGAGTTCGGAAAGCCTCGTCTTGTTCCTTCAAGTCTCGTCGAGCAGGAACAAGCGTCGTCCAGAAGTGCTTTCTTGGCGAAACCGTGTAGCGCTTCATGAGATCTTTGCGTGGTGTGTACCTTTTGAAGAAAAAAGTACCCCATTTGGATGTAGCCCCGAACCTCTTGGCTGATTGGCACAAGAAGCTTTGAGGTCTTTTCTTGAAATCTCCACGACTCTTCGTCTAAAGGTTCCCGAGCATATACCCGTTTTCTTTGTTAAAAAGAGCTTAGATTTAGTTATGTCCGGGTTCTTTTTATCTTTTGGCCTTGAAGTCGTACGTCTTGAAGAAGTCTTACGAGTGGCGTCGCTTTTTTTAAAAAGCGCACTCATGAAATGTAGCCCCGAGCCTCTTGCTATTTGGAACAAAAAGTTGGAGGTCTTGAATCTGAAGTTGTTCGAAAGAATTGTATACCTTTCCTTTTGCAGCCCCCAAGCATATATTC